AGAGTACTTGATAGTTCTGTCATGTGCTTTAAACCCCCCTTTCATGTCTTACTCTCATATTTCTAAAATAGAAGCAGCAAAAGGGGTAAATTTGATGCATACTAACTTATATCTTGAGCCTTGTATTTTTAAATAGCTGCAATGAAAACTAAATAGTAGTTTTTCCTTGGAGACATCTCTGGCCTTGTACCTGTCAGCAGTCTTGGGGAGGCAGGACTGTATCTGCTTAAGCTCAATTAACACTTGAAAAGTTATCTTCAAAGGGACAGGGTTACTGTCTTTTTTTGTAAATAAAAATTCAGTATTTGCCTAAGAAAGATTCTTGATTTGCTGTATGTAATTGAAGCTCTAATGGCTGTTGTCTTTGGAATAGAGTTTTAAAATCTGGAAGGTAATCTTAAATCAGCAATTTTTTAGACTACTGTTACAGGTTATAATCTGCAAAAATGTTAGATGTCGTTTGAACCTATAAATCATAACCTGCACCTTTTACTTTTGAAATACCATCTTTTTAGTAGAGAGCACTGAACTAGCATTATGTATGTTCTATATAAACTGTTTTGTAAATAGTACATTGCAAGAGGTTTCCCTGAGGTAAAATCTTTCTAAAACTTAGGAGGAATTCTAAGCATACCTAATCTGGGGTTTATCGGCCCCATGCTAGATGTGCAACGTGTTCATTTAAAATGGTATTTGCAGCACTTTATAGATATTCCAGAGCTAGCTGTTATAAGCAGCTTAATCTGCTGCAGTATGTCTCAGCTCTTTGTTTTCCACTTGCAGAGTTGTCATAGCATTTCTTCTTCCTATTTTATTGCTCACTTTTACAGCGTTACTAAAACTGGTCACTCTTTTCCAGGAAATTCTGAATCTCCAATTTCAAATCTCACCTCTCAAATGGAGAACAGGAGCTTCCAGTATATTTAAACTTTACCATTTATAGTTTGGTTTTCTGAACTACTGAATAGATTACAAAGCTCTTGATTTTTTTTTCCTCATGAAAGTTTTCATAAAATCTTGTTTCAGCACAGAAGTGTGTCTCCTTTCCCTCCCTCCACCAATAAAATCCTAACAATTTGAAGGCCTATAAATAGCTCAGTTTCTTATACTTTGAGCTCAATAACAGGGAAAATGTAAGATATATCTTTTTTTCTCAAGTTAACATCTGATTTTTATTAGTCTCTATTCAGTTTTTGATTCATAGGTCTTTACAAAATTATTTCTGTATTAGACGCTGATTTAACTTTTAATAAATCTCTTACAAAATAAAAATTCTATCCCTGTGAAAGGAAGCTGGAGAATTAGAAGTTAGAGGAGTCTGGAGGTGACGGGGTGGGAGGAAGCATAAATAAATAAATAACAGTTGGGGTTTTTTTCTTAGGTTGTTAAGTCATGTTTTTCATTACTTGTGATTTTGGTTACATGATTTGATTATTTTTTGGTAGTCACTATGTGAACAGGTAGGGGAATGTCCTAAACCTTTTTTCTTTAATAAAAGGTATCCTTTTTCATAACCATATCTGTAGATGTGAAGCCAAGCAATTAAATGCCAAGCTTTTGTCTATAGATGATTTTCTTTACGTCACACTGGCCTCATAAAATAATTACAAAATTTCATGCCAGTATTATTAGCTATAGTAGACACATTTTTCGAGCCATCAACTTGTAACTTCTCCTTAATTTTTTTCTTAGTGTTGATCAGGTAGGTGGTACAGTTTACCTGAATTTAGATACCAAGATCCCAGTCCTACTTAACCTATGAATAAATAATCTCCGTGTAATAATATATGGGAGAAATCCCAAGGACTTTTTGCAAGTGTGGGGGCAAGAGAAATTTTAGGTTATGTTACGCTTGCAAAGATTAGGATCAGAATGAAATGATCAGTGTTCTTGGAAGCATCATGGTTCATACATCTCTTTTTGGCATGTTTCTGTTCCTGAAATACTCTCATCTAGAGTGAAATTTGGACATTTCCCTAGTATTAGTCTTTAATGGTCCTTTAGGTCAATTTATCAGGACACCGCTTAATTTTATCTTGAATTGTATGGTCAAAAGCCTTTTGATATTCTGATGTTGTTGACCAGTCTCCCATCAAGGGAACCTACAGAGGAGAAAAGATAAACTCGTGGAAAGCTGGAATGCTGGTAATATTATCTCTGCCGAGATGTACTGCCTTTGTGTGGCATGCTCACTCATGCCCTCCTCCCCTCTCTGGTTCAGAAGCACTTTGAAGGGTGTTCAGGGGGACTTGGAGATAAGTAGACAATATGTTTTAACATTTGGTCTGAATACTTAGGCCATAGAGAGCAGATGGAACTGGACTGTGTCCAAAGCTTCTTAAACATGGAGTCTAATGCTATTTGAGATGCCATAAGTTATCCAACACCACCATACGGATTTGTAGATGTAACACTGTATACAGAGAAGATATGTGCCCTTATGGACTGATACCTCATTAAGGAAAATACTGTCGGGCATCTCAAATGGCACTAGATGTCTATGAGCAACAGGATCAAGCCTCGGATGACTTGCAAGCACAGCAAACAGAAAAATTACATAAAAATGTACTCTGCCATTAATGATTACAGAGATAATACTCCAGATTCGTACTGGAAGTGGTGATAGTATGGTTTTAATCTTCTGAAGTAGCTGTTTGCTAGTAAAAATTACAGTAGCTACAAAATAGTTTTTTAAAAAGTTTGGATATAATACTTAACAAACCAAAAATTCATCAAGGCTGTGTTCATTTTGGTTTTTACTTTGTAGGGTGCTGCTTGCAGCTATCAACTTCTATACTTCATCATGCCAAATGTGGTATTTGCCCTCAGATTCTTTAAGGCTTAAGCTGTGGAATATAATTTGCTAAGGGTTTGATCTAATGTGATGTTGAGTTCACATGGTGTTTCATCTATTGTTTGTTTCAGTTGATAGTATTGCCAATGGGCACATGAGCCTTAATGGAAGGCAACATTTAGATGAATTTCATATTTTCTTTATGCTTGTTTCTTTCTTAGCTTTTTTTGGTTTTTGAGGGACTGTGTGATTGAGTCATACTTATGTGATCTGTATTTTTTTAAAAGAATGTGCCACACACAGTATTTAGAGAAGTTGATTATTTCCACACTGTATCAAATTACAAATTACTGTAAAACCATTAGTACATGGAAATTCTCCTATTTTATTTATTGCAAGAGACGTGGAGTGAATCCTTCCTATATATTCCAGGTTCCAAAGTGACAAAAATTGAAGCTACAGTGGTGCCCTGTACACAGATTTCCATGTCGTTTTTTGATCGGCTGTACTCTGAAGGAGTTGTTAGAGAAACTGGAGATATTGTGAAATGTTATGATGACTATTACGATGATATTCTCATCTCTGATGAATTAAGGAAGGTCAGTATAGCAATAAATAATGGCTTATAATTTTTCATACTGTATTAGGTACCGTAAGGACAGATTATTCAGGTTTTTTTCCTAACAATACATACTTTCCACGGTAAAAATGGGCATTGATAGCCATGTGATAGAAATGACTGAGGCACTGCAGTGCCTGAATGGCTGTTTTCCAAGTGGGCCTTCTTTCCTTTTTAGGTGGGAGAAAAAGGAAAAACCTTCTTCTACTCACCCTTGTTTCAAGTAGTCCGTGCTTGGGTGTGTGTGTGGGGAAATGCAGCTACTCATTTGCTGAGCAGGGGAAAGGAAGTGGTGCCGATGGAAAGGTCCCATGATACCCAGAGCTGTGGGTTCACCCAGCCTTCCAGGTAGTTGATGAAATCAAATGTACTCAATAGCTACATCCTGAAGCATTCCTGGCCAGGAACGCTGGCCATATCATACGTGAAGGCCTTTAAGGAAAGTCATCTTCATGTATTTTCACTGAAACAAAGGAGAGGAAACTATGAAAAGGGAAATTATTTTTCAGTGTAACACTGGAAAAGGACTAAATACAACTCCTGAACAGGCCTGCAAGGTGAAAACTGTTTGTTATACTCCAGTGGAGGTGTCAGAGAGGAGATTATTCTGAAAAAGAATCTCTCTAACAGTGGCATCTTCTTAATCAATGTATGTGTTCACTGTATGTGTATCTTTTGACTTCATAAGCTAAACCAATTTTGTTTAGCATTAGCAAAGCATACTGTGGGAGAACTGGATTTTGCTCTTCCTTGTATATATAATCAACATAAGTGCTTAATAATTATAGAGTTGCAGTCATTTGCACTTGGCAAATCCTTTGAAGGCAATGTATTTGAACCAGTGACACTGGTTACAGGACATGGCCTGAAATACTGGTCTGGCTGGTAAAGTTCTGGGAAAAGGAGACAACTCAAGCTCATGTCTGAATTTCAGATGTGGTTTGTAGCCTAGCAGTTCAAAATACTATGTATTTATTTATAAGTTGGGTATGTGTGAAATGTTTTCTGAAAATTAAGTGTATCAGATGTAGGAAAGTTAGAGGCAACATTTAAAATAAGAAATCATTGGAGTTTCAGTGTCTCCATTTTCCTTGCCTTGGAAGGGATGTGTGTGTCTGGAAGTTGCAAGTTAAAGGTTTTACATTTGTTTGACATGAACGTGATTCCTACTCGTAAAACCTAACATGGTAGAAAGAATTCAGTCAAAATCTTCCAGGAACGATGTCAAAGCTTCAGATTAAATTAGTCAACGCCCCAGGACGGTAGACTGTAGGGGGCAGCAAACTGTCTGTCTCCCGTTGTTGGGGGTGCGGGCCTTTATCTGCAAAACTCCGTGTTTCTTTCCTACTTGCCACGTCTTCTCTTGCTTCAACCAAGAAGGGGATTGGGATACATATGAGATGGCCGTCAACAACAGTTGCTGTCCTGACCCCCTTATTACTCAGGTTGTGTAGTGACATTATACAGAGGGCCAGAGAGCGGTAAGCTCATGCCTGGCTTTGACTAGTTTGCCTGGGTTGGCATCTGCAGTTTGGCTGATGTGACTCAAACACCTTGTAGCAATACTGAGTTGCTATTCCTGTCCACCCTTACAGTGGGCAGTGTTGGGACTAATCTATCAAGTTCTCAGTGTTCACATAATCATAGAATCTTAAGGTTGGAAAAGACCTCTAAGATCATCAAGTCCGACTGTTGATCCAACACCACCGTGTCTACTAAACAATGTCCCAAAGTGCCATGTCTACACGTTTTTTGAACACCTCCAGGGTTGGTGACTCCACCACCTCTCTGGGCAGCCTGTTCCAATGACTGACCACTCTTTTGGTGAAGAAACTTTTCCTAATATCCAATCTAAACCACCCCTGAAGCAACTTGAGGCCATTTCTTCTTGTCCTTTCACTAGTTACTTGGCAGAAGAGACCAGCACCCACCTCACTACAACCTCCTTTCAGGTAGCTGTAGAGAGCAATAAGATCTCCCCTCAGCCTCCTTTTCCCCAGGCTAAACAACCCCAGTTCTCTCAGCTGCTCTTCATTAGATTTGTGCTCCAGTCCCTTGACCAGCTTCGTGGCAAAAGGCAGGTGAGACACATGGAGGCAGCTGAGTAGCATGTTGGGTTTATTGGGGCAACAGATGAATGCTCGGCAGAGTCTGCAGTAAAGAAGGGTGTGAGTTTGAGTGATCTCCTATGGGAGATCCTTGGGATGCCTTTACAAATGTGAGATAACTGTAAACTTAGAGTAAAAAACCAAATGGAGGCAAAGTTACCAAAACCAAACTAATTGGCAGTGATCGACACACCACATATAGCTATTTTCAGACTATTGATTGTTTCGTTAGCATGATGAGCAATTAACTAGTGAATAACAAGAGTCTTGAAAAATCTTCCCTTACATCTTGTGGGCACAAATCTGCAGTGATTCTGCTGTATTTATAAATTTTGAATGTAATTGCATCATTGGAAGAAGTATTTAGAGAGCAGTACTTATTTCCATCCTTAGCTCATATATTTTATATGGACATAAATTCTGTGTGACATACAGCAAAGTAGTTGCATTGTTTATAAACTTAATCTTGAATAAGAAATTTTCATCTGTTTGACGACTTTGTTATTTTCTTGTTTCACAAGGTCTTGCTTCTGGAAGATTCAGACCACTATGACATATTCAGTCAATTGGATCGCAAGGAATTTCTGTTCTGTCTTTTTAAGCATCTTTGCATTGGAGGAACTCTTTGCCAGTTTGAAGATGTAGTTGACCCATACTTAGAAACTACAAAAGCTTTATATAAAGACTTGGTGAGGTAAGTGTTTTCTGTTTTATACAATTGTATATGTATGTGCTGTGCATAGATACTTTGTGTTGATTTGTGTAAATTTATTATGCATTACTGCTTCAAAAATGGGGCTGTTATTTAATCAATCTGCAAGCTTATTTGTCTTTAACTCTCAAAATATTGTGTAACAATGGTAGTAGTTCAATGGCAAAATATATGCAATTTTAATGGCATCTGTCCCACATAAAAAATTTTTTATGTTACATATATGGACATTGATGTTTTATAATTCACTTCCATTTTAAGATTTTTGTTTCTGTAATCGTCTACTGAAAACATGGCATGGCACCGGAACAGATTGTGTTCCCACTGTCATGATAAAATGTCAACAATTAAGTCTTGGATGTATAGTCTTGGACTACTTCAAAGCTGCTTTTGTCTTAGGATTTAAAAATTGAAATACTTTAGCTGAAATTTTTAGTTCTGTATATATTTTACTCCAGCTGATGTTTTAATTTATTTTAAATACTGTTGGATTTTGGCATTCTTAGTTCCACAAATATATTTCTTGCAGCTTAAAGCTAAGGGTGATAGAATCTGGTTGTTAACATGACACAGTGGATTAAAATGTTTTTTCCAGGTCTGGTGTATGGAATTGCTTGGAATTTTATGTTTTGGGTTTTTTTCCTTGAGATTAGATGTGATTGATCAGAGGTTCCAATTCAGAAAAAAGGGCAATTTGATATATCCATATACTGACTTCTCTGATTGATTGACAAAATTTCTTATTTTCTGGCTAGTGGGAAATGGCATGTAGTTACCAGTTATGCCAAGACTCATTCCTAGCTAAGCTAATGGGAATATGAAGATCATCAATGATATTACTAAAATTTTATATTGTGTTATACTTTGCCACTCACAGTAAGTATTTGTGAGATAGTATAAAGAACAATATTAACCTGAACAATGGAAAACAATCGTAGACCTCTGAAATGTGAGTATCCACGTCATGAGAGTTCTTGTACTATCTAAGTAATGCACTGGAATGTACGCTACAAAGACTTCAAATTGCTTAAAGTAAGAATTGGTATTTTTTTTCCTTCTCAGCTCTATCTGGAATGGTGTCACGACCAATTGTTATTTCATCTCCTATTTTAAGATTATACACCAGCATATTAGGGAAAAAAACTGTGTAAGATTATTCATCTTGAAGTCTGTTCTTAAAATGTCTTTGGATAAACTTAAGAGTAAAATTTATATGTCTGAACAAAGATACAGCGAAATTATTAGACCCAGTGATTCTTAATCACCTGAACATTTCTTTATTTCTGTAGGACTTGTATGTATGCAAAAAAAAAAAAAATTAAAGCAAAATATTTGGCTGGTTTTTGGGAATTTTTCTTAACCAAAGCAGCTTACAAAACTTCAATAACTTCAAAGCAGCTTTCAGATTTTCCAGTGGTCAGTGCTTTTCATAGTCATATGCTGTTTACCAGGGTCATCTAAAATAAATTATTTAAGTAGCAGTAGAACAGTTGATACTTTGGAGGAACCACTGAAACAGAGAAATTGAGCGTTATCAATATTCCAAGAAGATTTTTTAGAAATAACAGAACTTGGATTGCTGCACTTATTAATGTGAATATTATGATAAATCACCAAAACTTTCTTATTAATGTGATTAGTTTTGTAATTTTCATATCATACATCCATGGAAATCAAGTGGGTTCTTCAGAAATACAGAACATGACATAAATTGATCTGTCAATGCTTCAGCTGTACCCTCTCTTTTCTTTTAAATCATTCACTCTGCAATTGAAACAAGCTGTTTGTTACTCTAATCCTTGGCCTTAGTTGACTCTGCATTGACTACAGCTGTTTCTGCTCGTGTTGTTGAATTGACCTAGGACAAAGCACAAATCCAATCAGTCCCTTCACTTTATTGCTTCCCTTTGCTGATGAGTTGTTTTCTCCTAAACATGTTCAAGTTACTTAATTTTTGCACAGGTTACACCAGAAAATAAAACAATGAAAATTACTTTCTTATGGCCTCTTATTTACAGTAAACAATTGCTAATGACAGTAGTGGTCTCTTAAATTCTGTTTACTAAACAGTTCACCTTCAAATTCCTGTTGAAAACCAACTATTCTTTAAATTCTTCTTTTCTAGACTGCTATGGTCCATTTGGTTTCTTTTTATCTTGGATTGCAGTTGCATTGGGTACTTTCTACTCTTTGTAAATTAGTGTTAAAAAACTTATCGTGGTATTAAAAAATTCTGTAAACTGCATTCTTCTTAAGCTTTAATTTTTATGTCTTGAGGGTTCAGAAGGCTTGGTGAAAAACAAATGGATAGTACAATAATTATTAGCTGCTAGCTCATGGAAAAATTAGCCCCCACAGATGAACTTAGACTAATCATGACATGCTTAGGTAAATACAACCACTGTTTGGTGCTGTAACAGTTTTTCTTGTGGAAAAGAGCCTTCGCGTGAAGACTTCCACAAAAGTGTCTCTTGTACTGGGAGTGGCAAACCTGTTACGAGCTTTTTCCCACTTCTCTTTCTTACAACCTTTCTTCTGGACTTTCCTGAGTTCTAACTGCAAGGCACTAGCATTCAAAATAGTGTTAAAAGGCTTGACATTTCATGTAGTTAAAGCATTTCCATGCCTATTGCTTTATTATGAGAGAATGCAATAATCTTTTAAAATTAACTGCTCTAGATATTTTACAAGCACAGCTAGGGAATTCAAAATACAACTATTAAATGAGAGACATTTTCTCCTTTGTATAAAAAGAAGTAATAATTACTTCCTAATGAATTAATGCACAACTTGTCACCTGTTACTAATCCAGCAGTAGTCTGTGACCAGTTGAATCCATCAAAAATTTTAGCATTGTGTATCCTGTGTAACCTAAACCATTTCAAAATCTTTTTAGTATTTTTTGGTTTAGTTAAAGAATACATTTGCATGACAAAAACTTGCTAATTAAAATATAGTCTATGAATCTTTGTTGATAAATCTTGTCTTCTGTACTTAACCCCTGGTTTTTCTGACAGTCTCTCTCCATGGTGACAGCTGCTCTAATATCTTGTAGTCATTGTTCTCTTCTCCTTCCTTCCATGCCATCTCCATGCCCTTTCCCCCATAATAGATGAATTTATGTGAAAGCATTGAGCTGTTCTTTTAATGTTTGGAAAGCCTAATAAAATATTGTCAGTAAGATTAGGATATAAATAGAACCCAAAGTGAATTGAGAGACAATGAGGAAGTTTCCTCTTCATAAAAAGGAAAAAAAAAAAAAGATGCACATTAAAATGATGAAGGAGCTACATATTCAATGAATATTTTGGAAGTTAACAATTTGAAAGAACAAAGGCTATTTTTAAGGAAATACTATCCTCTTCAAGAAGACAAGGTAGTTTTTTCTAAAACCTTTCAGGGGGAAAAAAAAGAAATAGAGCAATTTAGTTTGTCAAAGGCAACCTCCTGATTTCTTTCAAGTCAGCAAGGGAAGAATCTCATCTGATTTTGGCAGATATATTATTTTGCATTAAAATTTAACCAAAGTACTAGAAATAAACACTCAGTCTGAAAAATTACTTACAGGAAGTTAACCACAAGGGGAAAATTTCTCAAGGCAGTGGAAAAAATAGGAAGACTTATTCTCTGTCACCCCTTGCTTTGGTATCCTAGATATATATAACATAAAAATTTAGAAACCAGTAATTGAAAGCATTGTTTTCAGATACAAGAATATGAAGCCAGAGTAACTTAAATACAACTGTAGCTTTTGAGGGTGGTGATATATGGTAGAAAGCGCTAACCCCACTCACGCTCTGTACCTTGTTCTGAAAGTTGTCAGTCTTTCAGCGGACATGGTTAAACAGTTTCTGAACTGCTGCAGTTTACAGCCCAGTACATTAGCATAAACTGATATCCACGTTAGTTTATCTTAATATGTTGGTCTGTAAACTGCAGTGGTTGAGGAGCTGAGTCATGAACCAGCTGAGCTGTCCCTGATGGGAAGGCAGTAATCTCCAGAGGGGTGGTAAGGCAGACAGCTGGGGCCAGTACCAGTTTCAGCAATGTCATCTTAATCCACTGTTGAGTATATCAACATGTCAGTTGCAACAAAAAATTCTGAGAAAGCCTCCTTACTGACTCACCACAGGAAAGATCAACTTCATAGTACAGGCTTAATTCATACATGACTGTGTCATTACTCTACAGATGAAATCAGTTAATCAGAGAGTCAATTCCTTTTATTGGTTGGAGAGATTGAATCAACAAAGATGATGTCAGTTGATTTGGGGTTGGTTTGTTCTTATAAAAAGAAACCTTGCGAAAGCCATGGCAGTAGGGGACTGCTGTCACAAACAGCTTGGAGCTGGTGTGGTGTTTAACACAGATCCTCTAGCACCTTGGCTATATTGGGACCTTTCCTGGGAACTGAACCTGTTTGTGACAAAGCAGGTTTTGAACCGTGCATTTCTTGGAAGTGTATAAGTATAGAATTTATAAGGCTCAACTGCTCCACAGTGAGTTAATGTAAATAGAAATCTGTGAAATTAGATAAATTAATAGAAGTTACATGATCTAATTGATGAAGAAATGTAAGCATCACTTAAAGCAGCCCTGAGAGAAAATGACACATTTAAAAATACATAAATTTAAAATACGTTGAGATGCCTGGATGCTTTCCAATAATATCTTAGTGCTGTTAGTAACTGTGATGGAAGAAATGATAGTCTTCACAACTAACACAGTCTAGAAATATAAAAATTCAGAACTAATACCATCCTAAGGTGCATAGCTGTCTATATGTACAACATTCCAAAGGAGGAAAAATGAACCTAAATTATAACTATGTATTAATTAAAAATGAGCTAAAGTCTGCATTTCTTTACCAGTACTGCTGCTAATTCCTGTGATCTGTATTAAGATGCAGTTCACTTCACAGGTTTTTTTCTCAAAGAATATGTGAAAAGATTTTTGTAAAATGTTTACTTGAATAACTTCTCATAGCTATCAAAATGCAAACTTTATATTGGAGTCATCTAGGCCTGGGTAATATTGCTGTGATATAGTAGCTGAAAACAGTGAAAGCAACTCTGATGACTAGATACATTCCATAGTTTTCAGTAAAATGTCATAACATTCATGTTATCTAACAATGATCAACATATCTTTTCATGGTGAATGTGACATGAGTTGAATTTTAACTGTTAATTTGAACTTGATCAAATTTGAGTGAGAATACAGTGCATATGTTAAAAAATGTATTTATTAAATGAAGGATTCTAATAATTAATGGTTACTGTACATATTAAGTATGTATTATTCACTGTATTTCAGTGTTCGAAAGAATCCTGAAACAAAAGAAATACATATTATTTCTACAGTCTTCCGAGTGTCTGCATATGTAAGTATCAATAATTTCTGGTATAGGATTTCACTGGAAGTAACATGCATAACATGAAAATAACGAATTGACATATCAATGAATATCAGCAAGCTTGATATTGCATTTTAAAGGGTTATTTTTCCATAGTTGTTGTAAGTTTTTGGTCATGAACTCTTTGCCTGATCTCATCCTGCTTTCTCATCCTCTTTACTAACTTTTCATCAATAACCACCAACTAAAGTTTTATTTGGTAGCTCACTAAAAATAGGTTTACTGGATTACACTGGAAGTCATAATAGTCATCCAGAAACTAGTTCATGAAAAAAACCCGTATCTTTAGATCTGAGTAATTTTGGGTTTAGATCTACTTGAAATAGCAGTAAGGATTAAGACTCCACTCTTGACTTTGTATAGTTCTGTTTTTAGAAATGTTGCTAGAGCTTTCTGAATAGCTAGTGTCACATCTGTTTCTGTAAGGACTGCAGGAAGTTTAGTATACAGAAAGGTTGGGGTGGTGAGATGACTGCTAACCTTTTTTCCCCTCCCTTGTTAAGTCTCATTCCTATCTGTTTCTCTTTCAAAATGATACGTTTACCATCAAGATAAGTATGAGAACTGGCTGCATGTTTACTAGATTCAGCATATCTGTAATTTAATTGTTACAGTAGGATGAACTACTCTGAATTCTTCTTGAGTAACCAGAATATGTAATAATTAAATGCCGGATAATGTACCCACTTTCAAAAGAACTAGCTGATGTCATTTCAGACTGCACGAACTTCCCTGTAAGTTGCCAATAGCCCAGTTGTTCATCTGTGGGTCATCATCTTTTAAAAACTGTGTGTGATTCATAAAAGCTTTTGAAAGGTTTGTGAAAATAAGCACTTCATGGGTGTATCAAAATTTACTTTTCTATTAGGCTGCAGACAGTAATAAAAAATAAAATAAAAAAGCAAAACCCCGATAACTTGATGTTCTTCTGTTATTAGTTTCCTCCCCATCTCTGAATCAAATGTATTGATGTGAACTTTGCAGATTTCTATGTTTGTGTAGATGCATGATATTTAAGACTTCCCCAACTGTCTTTGCCATGTATTAAATATCATCAGTATTTAAAAAAAAAAAAGTAAACCAGACACACTTTGGCAACTTTTTGAAAACACAAAAGTGGACGAACAAAAGAAAATCCAGTGTACGTACAGAGCAGGCTGTCCTCTGTGTAGCCTTGAGGGGGAAATTGGGCTTTACTGCACATTCTGAAAATTTGTGAGGTGAAGGAGAATTCTGAAATTCTGGTTTCCATTAAAGAACATCCTGAAGATTTTTCTCTCAGAAGAGAGAAAGGCTTAAACAGTATGGCTAGGTTGTTCAATGGCTCTGTGGATCAAAACTCTTTAAACTCTACTTGGAAATTACAGGAAGGGCACCTATTAGAGTGCAAATGTCTTGTGATGAAAAATTTCTCTCAAGGAGACAACTATGTTTCTACAGTAGATTTAGTTCCTGAGTTAATTTGGTAAATAATTGCAGAGTGTGTTATAATCTTAATGTTGAGCTGACAATTTTTAAGCCATGTTTTCTTGGGTTGTATCTGAAAGAAATGGATTTTTACGCTGATATAAATAATAAAAAAGCTTTTCTGGTAAAAGTGACTTGAAGAGCAGCTGAGAAGTTAGAAGAACACACATTTTTGCAAGCTGGATTAATAAATGAACAAATAATACTTGTATATTTGCACAAGTACAAATGGAATCAAGAATTAAGAATTTTATGTAACACCATCCTGACACCATCCCTGCCTTTTAATTTGTTTTTTAAGCTGTGGCTAAGCAGCCCTTCTTTTGTTATCTAAAAAAGCATGCTATTAGAGATGTAAGTATTTCAAGGTATTAAGGTGTAGTTATAAATGTCTGTAGATCTGTTTAGCATCAAAACTCAATAGAGCTGGGAATCACAAGAGAAATAATTTTAAATCTTGTGACCAAGTACTCTGTTGAACTCCAAATACCCTGGAGAACTTTGGCACTTGCATGTAATGAAACGTTGTTACAGCTGAAGTATTTGGATGCTAACTGGTATTTTAGAACTTTCTTTAGCTGAACCTGAATTATGGCACTGTTAGAAATCAGTGTAACACATAGTTAATTCAAAAAGTATTTTTAAAAAATTGTTGACTAAATGATGCAGTTTAGAGAGATGTTCAGCAGTATCTTTATTTCTGTATTATGCTATGCATTGTGCTATGCATGTGTACTTTCAAATCATCAGCTGATTATCTGTGTTCCTACAAAGAAAAAATGATCCTCCTCTAACACCAGTAAATCAATCATTACACACCCTGCCTGTCTGAACCAAATTGGTAGATGGAATTGGTATAATTCTTAATTTGTGTACGTGCACCCTGTTGCTCTAAAAACTAGAGAAAGTCTGTGTAAATTCCAGAGCCTTTATGCTCAAGTATTTCAGGGGGTTTATGATCTCCTGTACTAATTAAAAGAAATTTAAGAACCCTTTTCATTTAATTAGTTTATATTTATTATTTTCCTGATGCCTCATCACCAGAACTTAACTTGTTTTTGTTCTTGAGTTGTTGTACAAATTTTTAGCGTGCTAACAGTGCCTGTCAGTCAAAACCTGAACTGACATGGGTCCATTCCATAAGGACTGCAGGAGTGGGATCTTCAGTAGCAATGGGAAGAAAGTTTAATTAGCAATCACACTTGATGTTGGTCTTCTGTTGTTTGTTTGGGTTTTTTTTTCAGTTTCGTGCATAAGCTTAGGTTATTTTTGGATCAAACTCCAAAGACATTGTGATGCCGAGTACTGTAAAATTTTAAAGCTTGCCCTCCTTACTGCAATTAAGAATCCAGTGTTTGATACACATGTATCCCTAAAAAACACCCAAAGAAAGCTAGGTATCTTAAAACTGGAGCTACAGAGCTTGGACGCTGTGTTGCTTAAAAATAGAATTCTATTTTTAGCTTGCAGCATTTGACTACCATCGGAAAATGCTGTGAATAAACATTATCAAATCTCTACCTGTCTTAAACAATGCTTTTATGGTGGTGCTTATCTTAATTTAAGATTTATGGTCTGAATAATCCCTCAAAGAAAGACATCAGAACATATAGTAGAGGGGTTCATTCTCTTTGATATAACAGGAGAGAAAAAGGGGTGCTAGTAACAGCTACTGATAAAATTCACAAGTGATCCGTGGAGCAGAAATTGGAACCCAGACGTTTTCCTTAAGTTGACTGCCTTAAACACTGAGAGAGGTTACACTTTTCATGTTTCCTTTGTTCAAAACAAAATGGATTATTTTATGCAAAGGAAGACAGTTTCAACAAAAGAATGAGAGAGATGTGCCTCTAAACTGGAATAGAGTCTGGGATTTTAAAATTTTCCTGGAGAAAACGGACAATATATGCAATATGGGAATTTCCCTTAGGCAAAGAAGGGGACTAGAACCTACATCTCTTCAACTATTGTATAAAGGTGTTGGGGAACAGGAGGAAACTGTTATGTGTTTTAACGGAAAGGAGGTATCAACTTGTTGATCTTTTAGATGTTCGATTACCAGAGTGAAAACATATAAAAAAAATCAACCCTTCAAAAATCCCATCTAGTTTCTGGATCCTTTCTGGATTTGAAGTGTGTCAGCACAGTCAAGCTGTGCTGCCCTGTCACTGCTGCAGCTTTCATTGACATGGGCAGACATAGGATGTTAAATTGAAGAGCCCAGTTCTTGTAGTGTTGGCTGTCAGCTGATCGTGGTTTTTTCACAATGAGGATGTTGGAGCGAGGCGCCTAGATTCCCTTCCAGCCCTTTCTGAGGATTGACACACAGAAAACTGTGTTTTCAAAAAAAACCAAAAAAACCCTGTGTTTCCAAAACTGTTTTCAGTAACAGTTCAAAATTGTTAATGAGCTGTAAGGAGGGTTTTCCTTAAATGCAAGTATTTGAAACTGAACAAATGTATTAACAAATATTAAGTGAAAAAGAATTACTGATAGAACAACTTTATGTATTAGCACAGAGTCCCTAAATGTTTTTCTGTTTCAAAGGAAACGTCAGGAACCTTGCATATTTAATCATCTATATTTTAGGCTCTAAATGTGTAAACACATGCTTACATGTTTAATTTTACATTTTATTACATATACCTCAAGGTTATTGGAACAGACAGAACTACTGTGCATTTTGTAGTGTCAGGATCCTCATGGAGACATAATGCTGCTTAAATAAACTATGGTGCATTTATTCTATTGTGCCATGAAATGAACTGTTACAATTGGCACAAAATGATACATTTCATTCAAATTTTATGAATTCTCTCTTGGGTATCCATGTTGTTGCTAACACTGTTGTGTTTTGTTTTTACTTCCTCTCAGGATGATAACGGCCTGTGTTACCCTTCGAGTAAAAGCCACGAACAGACTTTTGCCTACTTGATAATAGATCCCTGCAAGAGACACGTGCACGCTCTGTACCACTGTTTTGGTGGAAGCTTGTTTAGTAACTAGTTATAACCCTGGCTGTTCTCCAGTTTTATAATGGAGGTGGCCTCCTCGCTGCACCAATTCAGGCAGAAATTGCCCAGTTGTCTTAGAAGGGAGGATGTGCTTGCAATTACACGCTCTGAACGGCTACACGTTTGCACAGATGTTACTATGAGGTTAGCAAAAAAAGTTTTGTGTAAGTTTTCTATATTTAAAAGGCATACTTCTTGAAGCTGCTCTCCTGGCAGTTTTGTCCCCCCCTTCCCTCACCCGTTTTATCTAATAAAAAGTATTTCTCTAGATGTGTCGTCTCTTTATGAGCCAACCTTTCAGATCCACGACACATAAATGCGGGGGAGGCTCCAGAGCCAGTGAAATCTCTGCGGAATTGGGAGAAAGTGCGTCAGGCGGCCCGGCCCGCGCCGGCCGGTTGACCTCTATCCCTCCATTCCTCACCCCCAGCCCCCGCCTCGGCCCGCACGG